CAACAGGGTCACTGGTTTGATTCAAGGTCCGAGCTGAGCTGCCGCTGAGCTGCCAACAGGTGGTAGAATGGCTCAGCTAAAAAAAAAAAAAAAATCCATAAAAGCATTGCCACATGAGCAGAAAGGGCGTACCTGGTTGAAAGCTAGTTCAAAATTAAAAAACAAAAAATAGAGGCTGGGAGAAAGCCTCTCATTCTGAAAAATGAACAGAAATGCTGAAGATGCATATAAAGATAAGAATCACCCTTAGGTTCATCAAAATTACCAAAATGTGAGAAACCAGGGCCTGAGAAAGTTTGTCCTCAAACCCATCTGGCTGTGCTTACATATTCTTGTTTCTTTATTCTCCCTTTGGTAGGGCTTGGGGGGATCAGGAGATAAATTACTGTGACGAGTTTATCATCTTTAGTGTGTAGATTGGCATCCAATGTCTCATGGCCTCAGCCTTAGTTGCATCCATATCAGTGTAGAGAACATCTTGGCCACAGGACAAGAAAACTTGAAGTTCATTGGCTGTAGCCTTCTATACTAATTTCTGCATCAGGGATTGCCTTGCCTCAGACCCCAGAACTATTTGAAGGCCAAGGGCAAAGGCCACCTCTTTCTGCTTGGGTGGGCCCTGCCATTTTTTGTACCTGAGACATTTTCTTGCATCGTTCCGTGGCAGACCCTCACAGTTAGCATTGCTGTCTGGTGGTGCTATTTCAGTCAGGTTTACAGTCTGGGAGCCATCCTGCCTCTTTGGGGTCACTTCGCATATCAGTGCCTAGAGCAGTGCCCTGTACTTGGTAGACATTATCCGTCTGCATATCTGCTGTGAATCTATCAATTTTAACTCAGGGATGAATTTCCTCTCTTTCATTTCTAAGTTCCAGGCCAGGGGTACGGGCTGAGGGTTGGTGGGGAGGGTGTCACTGCAGCACCTGAGGTCTGACAGCAGTGCCGTTACTGACTTGCCAGGTGCTTTCTGATGTCGAGCTGGACTTGGGCTCCACCTGTCACCCCATGGCCTGCCATAGAGCCCAGGGAGGCTGAGGGGTAAGGGGGCCCTCCCTGGGCTTTCTCTTCCCCCGTTCCCCTCTGCCTGAAGGTAATAAAGGGCCTGGTCACCCTCCCCTGGCCTCTTCCCTTTACAGCTTGGCCACGTGGCCTCCTCTCTGAGTTTGCTTTCTGATTCCCATGGGGACCCTCTCACATTTTCTTCCTGCCAGGACCCAGCCCCTGCCCAGAGCCCAGATGTGCATTGGATGGGTACAGAAGCCCTGCGAGCCGCGCAGATATGGTCCTCAGCTTCACCTCTCGGGAGCGGCTCTGCTCTGGGGGACAACCTGGAGCCTCCCTATGAAATAGGAGTGCCTGACTTCCTGGCGGGGCAATCCGGTACTCATCACCTGGCTCTAAGACCCCAGCCTTATGCCACACTTCCCAGATTTTCTAGAGTGTCATCTTTTTACCATCTGCCCTCTTATGCGACTGACTCCCTTTCTATCCTGGTCCTTAGCTCTGTGTCCTTTCTACCCCTTCTGTGACCCATGTCTGCCTGGCTCCTCCTCCTGTTGTCCCCCTCTCTTCTCAGTCCCCAGCTTCTAGCAGACACTGGGGAAATGTGAAATGGGTGTTTAACAACAGTCCATACCTGCTCGTGGGCCCAGGAGTCCTTCTATGTGGGGGAAGAGTGGGCTTCTCAGTGGGGTGCCAAGAAGTTGGACTGCCCTCGCTCATGGTTCTTTCTTTTTCAGATCCTCCTGCTCCCCAGGTGCCTGACCTTTCCCCAAGAGAGGGGTGCCCAGGAGACCAGGTGACAGCCCAGCCTCAGGTGAGCCATAGGACCTTCAGTCCTTTGTGATGTCATGGTGTTGCTGCCTAATGGAGTAGCTGCAGCTCCCCCTTGTCCTGGGTCTCTCTGTTGAGGGACCTCACATCCAGAGAACCATGTCCCAGAGACCAGATTATCTCCCTTGAGCCCAGAGCTCTTCTGCTGGATGATGTCTTCTCTTTCACCCTTACAAGATCCATCCTGCACTCACGCAGAGTCAACCCCATTCCCTTGCCTCCTCCTAAAAGCTGGGAGCTGTGGACTGGCTCTAAGGTATAGGGCTGTGTTTTTTTTTTTTAGGAGGCTGTGACTTTCAAGGACGTGGAGGTGAGCTTCTCCCAGGATGAGTGGGGATGGCTGAACCCTGCTCAGAGGAACCTGTACAGGGAAGTGATGCTGGAGAACTACGGGAACTTGGCTTCTCTGGGTAAGGCATCAGTATCCCCACGCTTCTTCCCACCTTTACTTCTGCCCTATTAGTTTCCACATGGTGCACACAAAGGGGCCTGACCTGGTGTTAGATCCCAGCTCTGTACTAACCAAATCACTTAATTTATCACCTCAGACTCCTCTCTTGAAAAACGGGGATAATAATGACTGTCATGCTGGGTTATTGTAAAGATTAAAAGTGTTATGTGGGGTGACTGGTTAGCTCAGATGGTTAGAGTGTGGTGCTGATAACACCAAGGTTGCCGGTTTGATCCCACATGGGCCACCATGAGCTACGCCCTCCCTAAAAGAGTCAACTCTGCCATTGTAGCATAAAAGCAATGTGTAACCAGTGACCATGGCCGTTCCCCAATAAAAATCTAAAAAAAAAAAAAAAAAGATTTGTGATTTAAAAAAAAAAATCCTTAAGTGTCAAGTTCCTAGTCCATTTAGGCACCCAAAAATGTTGGCTGGTTTCACTGATTGAGTTGTCATATGGTTCCCACCTCCAGGGAATCCTACTGATCCTTAGGCTGTGAGCTCTTGCAGCCTGTCTTGTCTCTGCTCAGGGCTGTTAGAAATGGCTGTCTGGGCCTCCTGCCTTAGCTTCCTCCACCTGCTTTCCTGGCCTTTCCCTTCTCCCTACCAGAACCGTAGGCCTGAGAGGGTCCTGGAGAGTAGTTCTGTATGATTCGCCTACCTTCCCATCTTACCCATGCTATCCCCTTCTCTTCTCTTCTGCAGTGGGGCCATTCACCAAACCTGCTCTGATCTCCTGGTTGGAGACACGGGAGCCGTGGGGCCTGAATGTCCAGGGAGCTCAGCCTAAGGAGAATGCAGGTGCTGCCCCTGCAGGTGAGTTCCAGAGAACCTACCAGATCCTGCTCCTCCAGCATCTGTTCTTCTGTTAAGGCCTTTTACACCAAGTAAATCATGGGGAACTTACTCCACTGTTTGCTAGAAGAAAGATCCTTATCGGTGTCGCCAAGGAGTGCTGGGCCCCAGGCTTCTCGTGCATTTCTGGCTCTGCCCCTTCCCCAGAAGGCCTCTCAGTAACAGTCCTTGCCCCCTGGAGGGCGTCACTGTTCCCTCTTTTCCAGTCACTGATGCTCCTCAGCTCTGTGCTGCACTCCCCTCGAATCCCTAATGCCCGCTTCTTGCTCTTAGGAGTCCTCATTCCACTCCTGCTTCTTGTTTCTGCTTCTACCCTCTCGTAGGCTTGATCTCCAGTCCTTTCAGCGAGCTCCCCTTGGAGCCCTGGCCCTCGGCTCTTGGGGACTCCCGACCATGCTCTTTCTTGTGCCATGGTTCTTGTCCCCTCTCCTGCTACTGAACACTCCCCTCTCCACCCTTTTCCTTTTGTGAACTGGGTGTGATTTCTGCATGTGTCCAGCTGCTGTGCTCGTCTTGCTTCCCCTCCCTTCCCTGTCATCTGGGATGCGCTTCCATGTTTCGCCTTGTCCCTCCCTGCAATTTTGTAAAGGTATTTAGTCAGGCAAAAGCCTTTCCACTCAAGTTCGTGGTGATTTTTTGTCCCATGGTGCTCTTGGCAGTTCGTAGTATGGGAAAAGAGTACATTCTATTGTGTTTTATTTTGTGTCAGGAGGTGAGCTCCAGAAGGAAACAAACAAGTTCATCTTAAAACGTGAATCTTTGGAGGAAGTGGAAACCTTATCTGTGCCGTCAGAAAGTCAGGTGATGAGTGTTTCTGAGGAGACAGAGCTCAGAGAACCTTTGGAACAGAAGAGCAGGTTAAAGGAGCAATGCGGAAACCCCACGCAAGTGAGTGTTAAGAAAGAAGAGACCAGTTGCATTCACGGCACCGGAAAAGAACCTGAAGAATCAGAAGGCGGTAATAATCTTAATGTAAAACATGTTCCGCGTTTGAGAGTTCCCAGAAGAAAGCGATCCCTGAAGCATGGTTATGGCCGACACTTCAGAGGCAATTCATACCACTACGACGGCAAGGAATACACAAAGGGGCTCCGCCGCATGATGGGCGGGCTTAGCCTGCAGCAGAAACTTCATGCCAGCCTGAAAGGGGCTACGAAGGATGCACACGGGAAGGACTTCAGCCTTAGTGCTCATCACCAACATGGGTGGAACCTTCATCCGGTGGGGACATCGTACAAGTGCAGTGACTGTGGGAGGACCTTCAGTCATAGCTCCCATCTTGCGTATCATCAGAGACTCCACACCCAAGAGAAACCATTTAAATGTAGGGTGTGTGGGAAAGCCTTCCGGTGGAGCTCAAACCGGGCGCGGCATGAGAAAATCCACACTGGACTGAAGCCGTATAAATGCGGTTTGTGTGACAAAGCTTTCCAGCGCATGTTTGCCTACCACTTACACCAGGAAACCCACACTCATCAGAAATTTCTTGAATCCAATCAGTGTGAGGAAGCCCTCGCCCATGGCTCAGGGTTTGATCATCATTTGCCAGCTCAAAGTGGGGAGGAGCTCTTTGACTGCAGCCAGTGTAGGAAATCCTTCCACTGTAAGTCATATGTCCTTCAACATCAGAGGATCCACACCCAGGAGAAACCCTATAAATGTACCAAGTGTAGGAAAACCTTTAGGTGGAGGTCAAACTTTTCTCGTCATATGCGAATGCACGAGGAAGAAAAGTTCTACAGTCAAGACACACGTAGAGAAGACTTCAAGGAGACCTCCAACTGCACTCAGCCCCAGGGCCTGCCCCCCATTGAGGAGAAAGCTTTCGTGTGTCAGCAGTGTGGGAAAACTTTTATGAGAAAGAAATCTCTCATTAATCACCAGAGAATCCACACAGGCGAGAAACCATACCGATGTAGCGAATGTGCAAAAGAGTTTGCCCACAGGTCAGCCTTTATTGTGCATAAGAAGCAGCACGCCATGAAAAGAAAGCCTGAGGGTGGGCCCTCTTTTAGCCAGGACAGAGTATTCCCAGCCCCTCAGAGCAGTCACACCACAGAGGAACCCTTCAAATGTAGCCAGTGTGGCAAAGCCTTTCGTAACCACTCATTTCTCCTCATACACCAGAGAGTTCACACCAGAGAGAAGCCTTACAAGTGCAGGGAGTGTGGGAAAACTTTCAGATGGAGTTCTAACCTCTCCCGACATCAGAGGGGTCACTCTTTGGAAAAACGGTACGAGTACCACGAGAGTAGAAACCCTCCAGACCTGCAGCCACAGATCCTCACTGGAGAGAAACGTTTTTGGTGCCAAGAATGTGGGAAAACCTTCACACGTAAAAGAAGTCTTTTGGATCATAAGGGAATACACAGTGGAGAGAAGCGCTATAAATGTAACCTGTGCGAGAAATCTTACGATAGAAATTACCGCCTTGTGAATCATCAGAGAATCCACACTAAAGAGAGACCTTTTAAATGTCAGTGGTGTGGGAAAGATTTCATTGGAAGACATACCCTCTGCATCCATCAGAGAAAACACACAAGGACGACACAGCCTGCAAGCAGCCTGGCCGAGCCACCTTCCTCCCAGGACACAGGGGTGAGTTTACAGGAATTAAAACCAAGTGGGGAGAAGCCCCTTGAATCTCGTGAGGACGCTTATGAGCAGAGCTCCAGGCTCACCGGACCTCAGGCCATACCCATGGAGAAAAAGTGCCACAGATGTAGTACGTGTGGGAAAGATTTCAGTAAGACCTCCCAACTTGCTAGCCACAAGAGATTTCATACTCGAGAGAGGCCCTTCAAATGCAAGCAGTGTGGGAAGACCTTCCGGTGGACCTCAAATCTGGCTCGGCATATGAAAAGTCACGCTAGTGATTAGCTTGGCGCCCGACGATGGGAGGAGAGGGGTTCCTGGCTACCCTGCTAGAGAACCCTTCAGTGTGGGCAGTGCAGGGAAAACCTTCACAAGGAGCCCCAACCCTTTCTGTTCTGGAAGCTGGTCACAGAATCCTGAAGATTCAAAACCTCAGGGCGTCCCCTATCCTACCCACTGGAAAATGAGATCTTTGGGGACCTTCTCGAGACTCAGGCCCCCAGGAGTGATCTTTGTACAATGGCCTGGAGCCCCCCAGGGTCTTCCATAACTCTGGAGAGAGAGATCATTGTGTTTTTGGTTTGACAAAATGTCTGTGGCACGGTGGGCTGTGGCTGCTGGGAAGGGGCCACTTGGCTCCTGTTTCCCTCTGTGTCTGACCTGCTATGGTTCCTATTCTGTTTGACCTCATAAGCAGCAGCAGCAGCAGCAGCAGCAGGAACTGCTCCTGGCCTCCCCAGATGCTTCCTGAGGAGTTCTGGCCGCAGCTGCAGCTGTCACAGCTGCCTCAGGATGTCTGCTGTGGGCATAGAGTTGTTGCCATGACCAGTGGAGGAGTGCAAGGTACTGGGCTCGATCACATGGAGGATGGAGTGCTCCTAGTGCCCCACCCACAGGTGATGCACAGGTGGGCAGCAGCGGTCCATTGGTTAAACAGACGTGCTGAGCTCCTCCCACGTGCCAGGCACTATTGTTTTTGCAAGAGACCCCGCAGTGACCGGAACAGACAGATAAAGCTGCCCTCTTGGATCTTTACAGACAATGAACATGTGAGAGACATGCAATATTTTGGAAGGTGATGTGTGTTGTGGACAAAATGAATCAGAGAAGAGTGAGAGGGAGTGCTGAGTTGGGAGGTGGGTTGTGACTTTCAATAGGCTGGTCACGAAGGGCCTCAACAGAGAAGGTGAAGTTTGAGCAGAGCCTTGAAGGAAGTCAGAGAGTGAGCCCTGAGAGGTAGGTGTCTAGAACCAGGCGCAGGAGGTGGAGTCTTGTCTGGTGTCCTCAGGGAATGACAAGGCGGTCCCTGGGCTAGAGTGGAGTGAGCCAGCTGGAAGAGGGGCCCGGGGAGGTGGTGGGCCACACAGTGTGAGCATTATGGGTCCATCTCTGGGGCTGAGGCTGCCACAAGGGCAGGTAGGGAGCTTTTGGACAGTTTGAGTTGAGGAGTGATGTGGTGTGAGTCTGAATTACATTTATAAGAGTTAACCTCAGACCCAAGGACTCAGTAAAATGATAAAGTTGAAAAATGCTGATGCCGTTATTCCTGTTGCTAGCTTCCATGTGTCTGAGGCTTCTGCGAGGCCGCCAGCTCTTAGCAGGTGTAAGCGATTGCTGGTTGCATCTCTAACCTCTGCCCCCTGCCTGTGCGCTCTGCCTTCGCCTGCAGTGCCGCCCCCTCCCTCCCTGTGCTGGCCCAGGTCCTCACTCTTCAAGGCCCAGCTTTCCTGGACCCCCGTCCCTCTAAGCCCTCTCCCCTGGTGCCTGTATCTTGCTGTGTTAGGTGTATTCTGGGTTCCCAAAGTTTTGCCCACCGTTACAGCCAGACTGGGCACTCTGGAGGCCAGGGTTGGGCACTTGTTTATCTGTTATAGAGGAGATTTTGCACAAAGTCGTCTCTGTTAAGAAATTTTGTTCAGCTGTCAGGATTTGGGTTTTTTGAAGGGGTCCTTGAGTGAAATGTTGACTGGAGGCCACCCCCAAGTGCACTCCTAATTAGGAGCCCAGCTGTGCGTGCTTCCGAGCCATATGGCGCCAGTTGACAGTTTCTGACTGCCCCAGCCACCAGTTCTCATCTGGTACCCCATCTGGACAGGGGAACACACCCCCTTTTCCAACCCAGCCCCGCCTTCTCTCCCTCTTTAGGAGGAGCTAAAGTTGCTGCTGGGGAGAGCCAGATTGGGTTGGGGCTGCGTGGAGAGGAGTGGGGATCAGATGGTCTTTTTCATTCAATCAGCTGTTCTGTGTGGTCGGCCCCACCTTGCTGACCAAGACTGTCTGCCCAGACAGAGGCCTGTGCAGAGAAGAAAGCAGAGGAAGTGTAAATTAACATGGACCATCTCCCACTCGTCAACTTGGCAAATTTTTAAAAGCCGTAGTGTGGGTAAGTGTGTGGAACAGCGGGAACTCACTGCCATAGGAAGTGACAATTGCGATGACTGTTGTGTGTGCCAAGCAATCTGCAAAATCTTACCACCCTGTAATCCTGCGATTACACCTCTAACCTCTGAGTAAACCCCAGAATAACTCCACATGAAGAAAGAGATGTGTAGAAGACTGCTTATCGCAATACTGTTTGTTGCGGTATTGTTAGATAGCAAGATGGGGAAAAGCCTAAATTTCTTTCAGCAGAAAAATATAAATAAGTGGGTTGTTGGTACTTTGAGAAGTGACTATGAAAGAGCTAAGTTCCATGTTTCATAGGTAAATAAAAAATGATGCTGAGGAAGTTGCAGGAGACACATACAATATACCGTTTATGTAAAGTTAAGCATATTGTGTATCTGTGGGTACATTATTTAAACTGATTTGTGTTTCACTTTTTCTGTAAAATGAAATCGTAGTGCCGATCTCACAGTGTTATTGGGGATGGGGGGCTGGTTAGTGAAATACTGTATGTAAAGTGACTAGAATAGTGGCTGGCATGTAAGTGTTGTTGGCATATAGTAAATAGCGTTGTCTTCGTTTTGCGCAATAATATATTTCCTTGGGTTCAAATAATATGAAATCAGAATATAAAGTCATGTATTGGAATGATATGTGAAAGTCCTGCTCTGCCTTCCCAGGGCAGGAGTTGCTGATGGAATCAGGGAATGTGCCTGGAGTCTTCCGTTGTGTTTTCTTTCTTTTTCAAAATTGGTGTAGATGGGTCAGCATGTTGATTTAACCAGGATGGTGTGGTGGGTTCTTTTTTTAACTGTTTGCTTAAAATACTTACAAATAAAAACATTTTAAAGCATGGGCTCTGCCATCTTCTGATTTTCTAAAGATCCTGGCTCTGCCATTTATGTGCTGTTACTTAGAATGAGTCACTCAATTCTCTCCAGGTTTCAGGTTCCTCACCTGCAAAAACCTAGAGCTACACAAATGGCTCTCAGTAAAGAAATTGTTAAACAGGTCTGATACATCTAGATGGAGTACCATGCAACAGTCAAAAATGATGAGGCTGTTCTCCCCGTGTTGACACGTGATCTTCAAGAAGTGCAGTTTATAAGACATTACGAGCTCTATTTCCTTGAGTTCCTCCTTGCCTAAAAATAACAAGTAAAGCCAGAAGCTGTGGACTCATAAGTTTAATGGAGAAGTGGGATCCATGGATGGAGATGTTTGGTCACCCATTCCACTTTTTTAGGTAGGCAAGAAAAGGTCATAAATGTTTGCATACCAACTACCACGGCTTTTAAGTTGATGCTAACTGACCTTGCTAAGAAGAGCAAAGGTTTTTGTATCAGCCAGCTTCTTGTCAGGGGCCAGAAACCACACCACTATTTTAACAAAAAAATTGTAAAGGATTGTTTACTAGGTATATCTAAGCAAAAAGGCAAAAAGAAAATGCGAAGGTGTGGAGGTAGTAACTTCGAGAAGCAGCTACCATCCTAGGACTGGGTGAGCTGTAATGAGAATCTCACCCCATTTTTGATGTTTGATCACTGATAATTTTAACTTTCAAGTGCCGTCCCTCCCCCTTTTTGCCTCACAGCTGGTCAAGCTGATAAGAAAGCCCAGTCACCCCTTCTCAGCTCCGGAGGGCGAGTTTAAGCAAACCCTGGCTTTTTTCGTTGCACTGGAACCCTCACCCCTAACCACAACAAAAACCAGAGCCACTCACTTCCCCTTTTCAATCAAGGCAAATCAACTGGCTTGGGTGCCTGTCCTCTTCCCTGAGAGCCTCATTATATAATAAACTTTTCATAACCCCTGATGTGTGCAATGTCATTAATCCTGATATCTGAACCAGTTTGGGGTGGTGGTATAGTATCGACTCCCCCCCCCTTCCCCCAGGACTAGCTACAAAGCAGGAATGAAAAGTGTTTGGAGTTGTTTAAAGGTAAGACATTAGAAGATACCCCGTGAAGTTGAACTCAGACCTCTGAGGAGAACACTGCTGGGCTGGAGCCATTGCCTGACCTCAGGAAGGGCCCCATGTTGGCCAGTCGCAAAGCTGGATTCAGCTGCTACCAGGAGTTGCCACTGCTGGGGTGAAGTGCTGGGAACAGGAAGCAGTGTCCGCAAAAACAACAGGAATGAACGAGGCCCCCTCGTCGTCCTCGTGTGAAGATCCTCCAGAGGAACAGTCAATAGGATGTGTGTGTGTATACAGAAAGAGTAAGGAATTGGCTCATGATTGTAGAGGCTGGCAAGTCCAAAATCTGCAGGTGGACCCGCAGGCTGGAGACCCAGGAGAGCCCACATTCCAGTCCAAAGGCTGGCTGCTGCAGCACCAGGAAGAGCCAGTGTCGCAGGTGAAGTCCGATGGCTGTGTGCTGGAGAATTCTCTCTTGCCTTGGGGAGGCCAGTCCTTTTGTTCTATTGAGGCCTTCAACTGATTGGATGAGGTCCACCCATATTACAGAGAGTAATCTGCTTTACTCTCAGCCCACCAATTTAAATGTTAATTTCACCCCAAAAATACCCTCAAAGAAAAACCTAGAATAATGTTTGACCAAATAGCTGGGCAACCCATGTGTTTGGATACGCAGACCCAGGAAAGGGCCCTGACACTGAAAGCCTGTCTCCGTCAGTGGAGGGGAGGGAAAGACCAAGGAAAGGCCGCTGAGTATGATAGCTGGTCAGGCTCATTAAGCGGAACTTGCATAGGAAGCATGTCCTGGGCGGTTGCAAGATGAAATCAGTCCCCACGCTGCTTGGTTGGTGCCAGAGAATTCTATAGAGCAAAAAGAAGGGGGGTGGGGTAGGGGGGACAGTCACATGTACTAATACACATCTGTGACTGTTCCTAGGTGCTGAAAATTGCCTTACATGCTTGACCAGGTCAGGATGACGAATGTTTCCCAGACCCATCATGTGTCAGGAGGCAGGGGTGTTGGTTAATGTCAGAACAAACACCAGGATTGTGTGTGTGTGTGTGTGTGTGTGTGTGTGTGTGTGTGTTTGGGAGGGTGCAAGCAAACGCCTTCATGGCCCAGCTCCAACTCAACAGGTCAAACAGCCATGACATGTTGGAACTGTGCCCCCTCCACACCCTGGCCCAGGCAAGTTGACACAAAATCTTTACACTCCAGCATTGCTGCTTCTCTTGTACATTCCTCGACAGCAGAACCTACCAGGGAACCAGCTGGCAAAGAAGAGATGTGGATTGCAGAGTTCCAGCTCCATCACAGGCATCTATAGAAGGGCGGATTTGAAGTAGACCATAAGCTAACAAATGGTATAGCTTTCCTGAATTGTTTTATTTAAAAAATCCCTAGGAGGCCGAGCGGCGTATTGGTTAAGAGTTGGCTTGAGATGCCAGCTCTGAGCAGCAGAGCAGGGCCCTGGTTCAGATCCCACATGAGGGCAAGTGACGCTTTGCCCTCTACAGCTAAGATGGTGAACAACAGCTCGACCTGGAGCTGGGCTGCCATGAGTCGCCGGCGACAGCATAGGCTACAGCCCCTGCTGCAGGGGGCTGCCATAAGCTACCGTGAGTGGCCGGCAGCCAGTATGAGCTGCCGTGAGCTGCCGTGAGCCGCCGTGAGCAGCTAGCTGTCCAATGGCCGGCGACTGACTGCCTCACCTGGGAAGAGCGCAATGATCACAATACCAACATGGGCCAGTGAAGTGACATCCTCCACAACTGGACTGAAGAACA